AACTGTTCTTGGGGAGGATGCTACAGATAATGTTTAAAGATGGGAACGGGGTGCAGACATTTATAGGAGAGTGCTGAAGAGTACTGGCATGTCGATTCCAACATTATCTGGCTCTTTACATCATGCAGGGCTTCAAGAGAAACAGCAAACCAACTCAGCTCTCAAGTCCTGTTAGATGGCACGTAACTGTTGTTGTTCTTCCTGACCTTGCCACCTTAAAGCAAGTAGGCATGGGCAGCCTGTCATCTCTTAAAGCAGGTGAGTGGGCAATGGCTTCCACATCCAGCTGAAGGAAATTTAATACTACATGTGGCCAGCAGGCTTGAAACTGCTCAAGAAATGCTGACAAAATAAATTTATACCTGCTAGAGTGAAAACTATCAACTGTCCAAAACCATCATTCTCAAAAGATTGCAGGTACTTTTAAAGGCCATCTTTCTTTTACTCAGGCATAATAAATGGAGAATCTTTCAACTATCTCTAAGGCTTTGCTATTAATCTTACAGTTAACATTTAATAGAGTTATTTACTTACATTTGGAGGAGATCAGCTGAGCACATCTTTAGGGGGAAGGCACTTCCCAAGTGTTGGGTTTATTTCCTTATGAAGAGATAGTATGTTTGCTTCTGTTTGATTCACAATTAAAACAAGTTACAATATATGTGAGAACCATCTGGAATATTTGACAAGGACCAAATCTTTCCAAGGCCTCATACTGTGGAAGCAGCATGGTATAATGGGTAGGAAAAAAATGGTTTCAAGCCAGACAGACATAAGCTGAAACCAAGCTTTGCCACTTACTACCTACGTGGACTTGAGTAAGTTCTTAAATCTAAGGACCAAGTTTCCTGACTGGTCAAATGGGGATGGTAATAATAGGACCTATCTTACATGGTATAGTGAAGAATAAATGAGAAAATGGAAGTACTGTACATTAGGCAAGTAATTGCTTAATACATTATAGCTGTAATCATGATTATTAACATTAAATGTGCAAGTTATTTTTTATACAGTAGAGTACTACTGTTTTT